AATAGAGAAATATAGTAACAGTGTATCTGTAAGCATTTATGCACAAACACCATATTTTACAACCAGTCTGAGAAAGAGTCCTGGGGTCTTGGTGGTTTCCATGCTGTTCTGTGTGCTTTGTTTCCTTATTTACAGGATTGCTAAAATAAGTAACAGCAGCACTCACCTTCCCAGCATGCCTTGCTCTTTGCTTTGGAAAGTAATAAAGAAAAAGTCCTACAACTCTCATAAATAGCAACATGATTTCCTCCTGTTGAAATCAACAGTTTCTTTCCTGCTTTTTCTCCAGTCCCCCACAATAATCACTAAGTAAGTCTGTTCTTGGGTTTAAATAAAGAGATGTTGGAAAGCTCCAACTTGTCTGATTAAGTTGGCACCTAGTTAAAGGATTCTTATTCTTTCTAGAGTCCCATTTATGGAAATGAAAGAAAATACCACCAACAGAAAAGTACATCAGTATGGTGATTTAACCTGTCAGCTGTATTGAAGGGCTGACACTTCTTTGCCTGGAAATGATTAAAGCTGAATAGAAAGTTGTTATTTGGTTCCTAAATGTGTTAGACTTTGTGATATAAGTAGACATGAGTTTGCTTTCCGCTAAAGCACAACCTCAGTAGACCTGGGGAGTTATTTGATGGTGTTTCTAGGTAGACATCGTGAAGAGGTATGGAGGTAGTGGCACTAAGCAAACAAGGAGCAGTCAACAAGAATAAGTACTTGAGGGGCTGTGGAGATGACTCAATGGTTAAGAGTATGTCTTAGTTATGGTTTACTATTGCTGAGAAGAGACATCATGACCATGGCAACTCATAAACAAAACATTTAATCGAGAGGGCTTGCTTACAGTTCAGAGGTTCATTCCATCATGGCAGGGAGCATGGTGGCATGCAGTCAGACATGGTGCTGGAGAAATAGCCAAGTGTCCTCCATCTTGCAGGCCACAGGAAGTCCACTGACTGTCACATTGGGTGAAACTTGAGAAAAGGACCTCAAAACCCACTCCTACAGTGACACACTTCCAACAGAAGGTGTGGCCCAGATTTAAGGTGTGCCCTCCAGCCTCAAGGTCTGGATTAAAGGTGTGTGTCATGTAGCCTCCTCCAGCAAGACCATGCTTTCTCCAATAAGACCACACCTCCTAATAGCACCACTCCCTATGAGTTTATGGGAGCCAAATACATTCAAACTGCTACAGAGTACTTGGTGTTCTTCAGAAGGATCTGGGTTCAGTTTCCAACACTGCCATGGCTGCTCAAAAGAGTCTGTTCCAGGGAATCTAATGCCCTCTTCTAGCCTTATTGGGCACCAGGCATGTGTGATGCACATACATACATGCATGCAAACTCTTACACACATAAGGAAAGGAATAAGCACTTAGACATGGTGGTGACATGCCCATAATCCCAGGACTCTGGAGGCAGAAACAGCGGCTCCAGTCTAAGACATCTTGGATTACATGGTCTGGCCCTTCCTCAGTCAGTCTGTCAATCAATCAAATTAATCAACCCATCAACCAATCATCAGACCATAGCAAGGATCCGAGCACCAAGGGTTCCTAGGGAATATTTGAATAGAAATTTCAACTTCTTTCAGAATTAACTTCTCCAAGTTAAGAACACTAGAACATCTGTGCATGATGACACTGCTACTAGCTCTGTACTTTCATGTCTGCTTCAATATGTAATTTAATTAATTTAAAATAAAGTGTAATAATTAATTTTAAAGATGTAGGCAATTGGCTTGGGAGGTCGAGGCAGTAGATATAGACAATGAAGCACATAACAGAGTAGATGGGGTGTTTGTTAAAGGAAAACCACGGCGGCTGGAAGACTGGTTTTGTCATTTCTATTTAGTGTCTAAATCTAGCCCAACACCATTGCCTGCACAGACTTTTCCTGGTTCTGCTCCCCTGGATCATGTCTGTTCTCTTGAAATCTCAAAAGGAGATCTAGAAATAAATTATTTGCTCTAAAGAGTCTCTGTGTTTCTGAGCAAAGCTCGTGTGAACTCAGAGACTGAAGCAGCATGCTCAGGGTCTGCACAGGTCGGCACCAGATTCTCTGTGTATACATTAAGGATTCCAGTTTCATGTTTTTATGGGACTCCTGAGTGTGGGAACAAGTGGGCCTCTGTTTTCATGCCTTCTCTTGGCCTCTTTTCCTTCCGTTTGTTTTGTCCAATCTGTTAGTTTTTACTTTATCTTACTATGCTGTATTTTATAATTATCCCTTAGAAGCCTATTGGTTTCCTAATGAGAGAGAGAAGGGAGTAGATCTAGATGAGAGGAGTGTGGGAGGTAACTCGGAGGAGTAGAGGGAGGAGAAACCATCATCAGGATATATTATTCAAGGAGAAAAGTCTATTTTCAATGAAAGGAAAAAAAAAAACCTCTATGTTTAACATACTTGACATTCTGTTACTACATACCAGGATGGAAGAATGTTTTGTCTTCAGGATTTCCAGCAGTTGGTTTGGGGGATCATTCAGGCTGATAAATTAGTTACAATTTGAGTCTTCCAAGTATGCACCTTAGTCAGTTTTTCGTCTAGCAAATTTCCTTAGTAATCCACGCATATACAGTTACCTGCATTTGGATACGAGTTTGGAAGATTACCCAGAAAACATTGCCTCCACACATATATTCCTCGGATCTGCCACAGTGCCTAAATTTCTACATTACATCTGCTACTTTGAGTTAGAATCTGTTTTTTCAAGAACTGTGGGAAATTTCCAGTATAGGAGCTGGGCTGTAGCTCAGGACAGAGAACTTACCTGGAGTGCATGAGGCATGTGGTCCTATCCCTAGAACTAAAAAGTGAATGAATGGTGTAGATGGGAAGGGAGGGTTGGAGGAGGGAGGGGAAGACATTGAGATTATAAGATTTGTTTGGAATAATACATATTGATAATTGTAAAAGCTTAAAATAGGATAATGAAAAGGGCTTGGCAAGTGGTTCAGAAACTGAGAATTTGCCTAGCATGCACAAGGCACCACATTCCTCCTTCCATATTGGAGAAATCAAGATCACGATGGAGAAATCTACAGAGACAACTGAACCAAGCTTGTAGGAACTCACTAACTTTAGACTGATAGCTGTGGAGCCTGCATGGGACTGGACTAGGCCCTCTGCATACAGGAGACAGTTGTATAGCTCAGTGTGTTTGAGGGGCCCCTGGCAGTGGGATCAGGATCTATCCCTGGTGCATGAGCTGGCTTTCTGGATCCCATTACCTATGGTGGGATGCCTTGCTTACCCTTGATAGAGGGCGGAGGGACTTGGTTCTGCCTCAACTGAATGTACCAGGCTTTGCTGACTCCCTATGGGAGGCCTTATTCTTTTGGAGGAGGGAATGGGGGGATGGGCCAGGCAGGGATGCTGAGGGGAAGCAGGAGGAAGGATGAGAGAGGGATTTGTGGTTGGTATGTAAAATGAATAAAAAAAATTTTTAAATAAAAAAAAGACAATGAAGAAAAAGATCTCCAGTCTGAAGCAAATATCAACTAGTGAATTTGTCCACATAGAAAAACAATTGAGTATTGTTCAGACTATAACTACTCATAAACCTGATGTGGTTGCTATGGCAAACATTATCAAGAATGAATGTATTTAGGGGCTGCAGCAGCAGCTACCCACCCTGAGTGGAGGTAGCAAACTACTCTCCATCCATTTACCCATTTTCTGACATATCAGCTTTAAATCTTTGGATGCTTTGTCTAGATTTGGGAGAACAAACTCCCAAGCTGACACTTATTAGGAGAACCTTGCATAATGCAAGGTTAAGAAAAGGAAAACTATTTCATTCTTAAATTACCTACTTTCTATAATTTTTAGAGTAGAAGCACTTTTCTTACCTTTTGTGCAAGCACGATGACCCGAAAGTGAAGAGCACTTCGCAGTACAAAGCCTTAAAGAGAGTGAAATCAATCACTTAGCTCTCATCCTTGTAAGTACCTACCTAGCTGAAAGAGCAATAAATGAGATCAATTGAGGATTCTCTGATTCAGACCCTCTGGGCCAGAACATGATGAAGGGAACAGTCAGCCCTATCCTATGTAAGGTCCCTGTCTCACGTGTAAGCTATGATCAGGCCATTGCCAGAACACGAAGCTTGTAAGGCTGGCACCGCAGAGGAATTTGGTGATTTCTGAGTTCTCCAGTATCACACCATTTAATTATTTTACAATATTTACCAATTAAATATTCAAATTGACTAAACCATAATAAAATAAAGAATTAAATGTGCATCAGAGTCTTCTAAATTTTAATTTAAAAGCTTTGTTTCTTGAGGACATTGCTATAAAATTTAAATCAGTTTCTTCATATTACCCAGTTACAGTTAGAGCTTAGCCTAGAAACAGGTTCTGGCTTCTGATTATTCTGAGAAGCCTGATGATGACGTATCTCTTTTGGATGGGATAAATAGGCAATGCTGTCTGTGTCAAGTTCCTAACTGTAGCATAAATCGATTATGGGCTGGGTGATGGAGCTTCTGTCTTGGCTCAACAGAACTCAAAGCCATTATTTATGAAGCCAGCAAGTGGTATTTAGAGAAAGAACATTGTATCCACGATGAAGACATCTTTCAGAACTATGGGCACGTGGTAATTGCTCTTTTTGTACCAGGCACCGGCATAAATGGGTCTGTCCTGCCTGTGACTGGAATGCCTCAACTAGTGTGAACTGTGAATCCCTGTGACTGGCATGCCTCAGCTGAGTTCAGTACAGCCAGATGAGCTCTAACATGGACTGGGCGTGGCTCTAGCAGCATCAGCCTGTTTCAGTGAGTTTCTTTCTCCAGGAACATTTCAGTTCTTATTCCTCAGAGAATGTAAGACAATCCTACTTGGAGAGATTTAACTTGTTTATAATCTCATTATCTTTAGGGATCCTTACTCTAATAGAAAAATTACTGGAATTAAGAGGTTAAATGCAAATGTCTGTGGACTTGGCCTCTATTGATTTATTTGATGTCTTCTGTGTTGGATATAAAAGCACAACTTGGCAAGTCAGAGGGTTTGATTTGGCTCACTCTTCTAGCAAACAAGCTGTGCACAACACAAATCCACCTTCAAGTTACAGAGGTTCAGCTCTGAACCAGTTCAAATGAGTGCCTAGCTAAGAGTGTAAGCTGAGTGCTGATTGGCTGGGACTGGTAATCAGGATACATAAAAGGCAGCACTGAAATATCTGGGGAGGTAGATGCTGTCACTGGCCTAGCAAATCTGTGTGCTCCTGAGACACCTCAGTACCATGAGTGGGTGCCCGTTTTTTGGAAACAGAGTGGGGTGAGTGTTTAATCTCTGTTCAAATGGAGGGGGCCACCACAGCATTAGCCTGTAAGCAGTTAAATTTCTGGACCTAAAAATCACCTTACTTGTTATTATTTTCTTCACTTATTAATAAACCAAACAGAAATAGTAACAGAATCATAGTGGCTTAGATTTATGGTCACTGTGTTTTTTCAAGCTCCTTTGTTTTTATGTCATTTACTCAAACTGCAGATCTTCTTTGAAAAATTTATCTCTAGAAGACAGTGAAGAAGACAAAGCTCAAACTGGTGAGAACAGAGCCAGCAAAGGTGGACTCATCTATGGGAACTACTTGCAGGTAGGTGGCAAGTCTTCACTGGAGTTAACTGCTGTTGTTAGCCACCAACTTGGGCTCTGTGCCTTTCCTTGCCTGTCTTTTTTCAGTCATCAGCAGTTTTCTGAACCTTAGAACTCAACTATTCATTACGTATCTATGCCTTTTCAAATTCACTCTAGCAAGTTAAGGGGTGAAATGTACCTCCCTAGAAGAGGTACGGCAAGAGCTGGGAGTTCTGTATCTGGACAGAAGATCGTGACAGATGAACTACGGTGCAGATGGCAGACAGGCATTGCCCAGGACATAGAAAAAGATGTGGTCAGAACCCCAGATTACCATAAAAAGTCTTCGAATTCCTCATCACAAAGCAGAAATGTTAAAGGTGCACAGAACTTTCTCGAAATCACTAGTAAATAAAAGAGAGCTTTCAGCGAGGAATTCAGAGGTCATTATGGTTACTAGTCAGCTTAAAATTTTAAGACGAAAAATAGAATCCTTGATGCCTTTTTTTTTTTTTGATGGTTTTGTAAGGATGACTGATTTAAAAAAATGTCAGCCCTTCCAGGAGCTTTTTGGAGGGAGGAGAGGAAGGTATCGCAGACTTGCAGCTGGCCAAACATCACACTCACTTAGGGGCAGTGCCATTTGGTAGCCAGGATTTCAATCAGCTCCTTATTAATGTGTGCTTCTGAAACTCCAGATCTAAAATCTCAAAATCAATCTTCTCATTTTCTTATTTAAAGTTGGAAAAAATTTTGAATGCTCAAGAACTTCAAAGTGAAATAAAAGGAAATAAAATCCACGATGAACACCTTTTTATTATAACTCATCAAGGTAAGTCATAAGGGTTGGGAAACAATCAGCTGTTTTTGTAATGATTTATCATCAATAAGGCAACAGCTACTTTACCTGTAAGACAGTAAAAGACTGAGGAATTGTCTTCGTTAGATACACTTGAGAAATTTCTGTGTCACGTGAAATTTCACAGGAATCTCTTTGAGCACTCCTCAGTTATTTTTGTGTTCCTTCACTGCCGGTTAGATTGTATGGGACTCCTTTTTTGTTCTGAGTTTGGGAGAGACTTTACAGATCTTGAAATTTCGAAAGGATTTGCAAGCTAAGATGCTATTATGTTTTCCTTTTATGGAGCATCAACAAAACCTACTTTCCAGAAATAAGTCCTTTTAATTTATTACAAATACATACTTTTTTTTGCATTTATATTTTTTAAAATTTTTATTGTTTCTTCATCTATTTTACATCCTGATGGAAGTTTCCCCTCCTTCCTTTCCTCCCATTCCCTTACCCTACCTTCCCGTTGCCCTCCCCCCTCAATCTACTCCTTCTCTGTTTCTACAAATACAGATAATTTTATAAAAATTAAGTATTAAGCAAAAAACAGAGTTTTTATATTTGGTAATATTTTTCAGACCTTTTATTTCTGGATAGTGGTATTCAGGCTAGAAATTTGTATCTTCAGAAGGGCCTTGTACACTGAGATTACATGGACATTTTCACAAATATGTATATTAATAGGCCTACGACCCCACAGTATTAAGAATGCTTGCTGTGTGGTTGTCAGTTCTGTGTTATATTGTGTGTCTGTCCAGGAGCTCTGCTCTAATCTACAAACCCACACACTTTTCCCTTTCAATGAGTTCTTGTCTTTTGTTCAAATGAGTTATTCCCCTGGGTGGTTAACACCAGAAAAGCCTTTTAATGAAGAAATCAACGACAGGAAAGAGTTAGCTCATTGTGTTATATGTTTTGTATTTGTTTATTTTTTTCCTTAAATTTTCATTGGTGGCTCATACTAAAGAAAAATCAGTAAGAGAGGAATCCTGGCTAGTCAGCATGAATGAAATACAAAGATAATTTTGAGCCCCATCTCTGTTCTGAATGACACAATCTTAGTCAGATTACTTAGATTTCAGACCTCCATCATCCAAAGAAGACAATTATTCTGTGTTCCTACTTGTTTCCATGATGAGGAGATGAAATAATAATCATTAAACATTCGACTATAACACATAGTAAGCTTGTAACAGAAGGTGGGCATTGTGATTTGATGTCTTCCAGGCTTTAGTTACAGCATGCTGGCAGGGGCTCATAGGACTACCCACACAAGGTTCAACCTGGAAACAGACATATAAAATGACGAGCAAACATTTGATTTCCTTGTTATCTAAATATAAAATTTTGATCTCCCCAAATCTTAAGCACAACTGAAAATTATAGTGCAGTTTCCTAATTATCACAACGGAGCCTTTATCCATAGAATGGTACCACATGGGATATACCAGGGACATCAGATTGTTAACCTTCTATGCTCATCTAATTATTACACTGATGATTTAGTTTGCTTATTCGTTAACCAAACACCCAATGCCAAGCATTGTGCTAGTTACTGAAGGAAAACATAGATGACTATGACGAAAATCCTTCTTTTGTGAATTTTCTTATGTGAAAGGACAAGCTAATGGGAAAGAATCGTTTTGCTTGCCATGAACAGTCTGATAACATGAGTCAAACTGTCTTCCTATGTCTGTTACGTTCTTACTATGAATCTTGAGTCTGAAGCACAAGCTTCCACCTAAAGGAAGATAACTGATCACTGCACAAATGGATTAACTGGGTGATGTTAAGGAAAGTTCTTTATCCCCAATGACATTCTTAGTAATCAAATGTTTTAGTCCTAACATGCATCTTCTACTTGGCTAGGCTGTAGGACTTTTCAATATTGGTTGTACTATTTGGTTACCCCTGTGGAAGAGGAAAGCAAGCTCTCACAGACAAATCCCACTTACATTCCTCAGCAGAAATGCTCTGATAGAATTCTGGCTTAAGGAAGTGGCCTGGAACTGAAGCAGGAACTCTCAGAGAGGCTGTGCTGCTCCAGACTAACTCACTTAGAAGACAAAGGGCCTCTCAATTGTCAATGTGATTAGCATGAGGCCCCACTGTGACTGTTTGATCAGTCAGCTATCTGCTTTCTTGTCTATCTTGAACCCACAAGTCCCTAGAATTGTGCCAACAACGAACAACCAAAACCCAAGAACCCCCCAATAAAGAACAACAACAACAACCTTGCTTTTTAAATATAAGAACTTCTAGTCCTTCATCTAAGCTTGTGATTGCTAATTTCTCAGTGGAGGGGTGAAGCTGAGGATCAGGTGTCTATACAAGAAGTGAGAATGGGTTGTGTGTGCTATCCTAAAAGACCTAAACAAATATGTCTGCTGGGAGGAGCCTCTGTACTAATAACGAAAATACAGAATAAAGTAAAATTCCCAGTATATTAGAAATTAAAAAATAGAGATAATTAAAATTAAGTGCTTATTTCTAACATAAAAATGAGTCCATGATCACATTTATTAATTTTAAAGTTATACTTTTCAATTTCCTATAAGTATCTGTCATATAATTATAGTCAAAGAGGCATCTGTAACTTTCTAACTGACTTTTTAAAATTACAGCTTATGAACTCTGGTTTAAACAAATCCTCTGGGAACTAGATTCCGTTCGTGAGATTTTTCAAAATGGCCACGTAAGTTGCAATGTCATTAAACTGAGTTTGTGTACCTTTTTAATGCACATAGAATGTCTGAAGTGAACATTCTAACTAATATTTAACAAAATACTGAAATGACTAAAGGGTTTTGGGAGATTCTTTCTGAGAAGTTTCATCGTTATTTCAAGTCTTAAAGTCCTTTATGTGACTCCTCTCTTTAAGATGCTATTCTAAATGGGGTAGGTTACCAGGCTAACTTGTAATGATCCCAGATCCCACAGCAGGTAACAGAATTCTATTTCTACTTAGTTTTGCCTATGGTAAGATAAGTGGGGGGAAGACAAGATAGGCTAGATGAGGGAAATGACAAGGGAAGAGTCAGAAGAGGAAGAAAAAAGGGGAAAGGATAGGAAGACAGATGAGAGAAGACCGAACAGCACCTGAGGCTAGGAGAAGAGCAAGCACACCCACCCATCTCCCATCTCCCATCTTCCATTTCTGAGGCTCGAGACACTATCATAGGTTCCCTCTCTGAGGCTCTGCTCCATGAGCTCCAGTTCTTATTCTCTCTCTCTCTCTCTCTCTCTCTCTCTCTCTCTCTCTCTCTCTCTCTCTCTCTCTCTCTCTCTCTCTCTGTGTGTGTGTGTGTGTGTGTGTGTCTGTCTCTGTCTCTCTGCCTCTCTCTCCCACCCTTTTTTGTGAATACAATACCATGGTTTGTCAGTAGCAACCTGGGCTTTCAGTGAAGAATGGATTAATAGAGTTATCCATTTATCTAATCATTTCCTAGAAGTCTCTCTGGTACTTTGAGCTTTTTTCTCTGAAACAAAAATGAAATGAACTTTCTTCTCTGAAACAAAATGAAAGCAGAAACATGCTTTGAAATCAGAGGCAGTTGTTTTCATGGACAGCTTCTAACTTGCCTCTGCTTTAAGAATAGAAAGAAATTCTAATTTGGAGAAATCTCTTTCATGCAACTCAGAATTGCAGTATTTTCACAAATACTCATGGTACATTTTAGTTCCAGTTGTCTCTGTTAAGATTTACACAAAGCTGACAGACAGCAATGCATTGCCATTCACAATCTATTCTGTATCTTCTCAAAATCCAACCGACTACTCAAGGTTTCTTCCTTCCGCACCAGGTCAGGGATGAGAGGAACATGCTCAAGGTGATGACTCGGATGCACAGGGTAGTGGTCATCTTCAAGCTCCTGGTGCAGCAGTTCTCTGTGCTGGAAACAATGACTGCCTTGGACTTCAACGACTTCAGGTATGCACTTCCCATTTCAGAATGCAATAGGGTTCACTCTCTCATTCTGATTCTTTAAAAGAAGAACATGTATGGAGTGAAAGGAGAAGCCTGTTTCATTAGCTCTTGAAGGACACTCATGGCTGTGATCACAAAATACTTGAGGAGTGGTTAAAAACATTCCATGACTCATTTTTAGATATAAAACTAGATGATCAACTAATTTCAGTTTATCATCATGTGTCCTGTTTTTCTCAATAAAAGATATTAGACATGGGATGGCTTAAATAGCTCACAATATAAAAATGCAAGACATAGCAGTGGTATATAAATAAAATACGCCAACCAAAATGTCAGTATTCATTATATACTGTCAATTTTGGCTCTAACCTTTCAAACACACACAGCCATCTGTATATGTGTGTACATTCATATCTGCATCTGAATATGACTTACATCTTTAAAAAGCACACATACAAGAATTTTTTTTTCTAAAATTAGAGAAGAAATTTTCTCAAGAAATTTAAACCGAGTCCATCATATGTGTAATAGGCAACGTTCCCAACAAGTTTCAAAGGAAAAAAAAAGAGGAAAAAGTTGAGTTATTTGTGGTAGCATTTAAGACATTATACTCTCAGCATCACTTAGGAGAGTTAGAGGATTCGAGAGTCTTGATGGTGTAGTCACATCCTCGATCATCTTTGTCTGTGTCAGGTAGCATCTCATTGTTTGTACTTGCTCCATCTCACGGATGCTCACCTGGGTAGGAAGATGGATGATAATATCCATGACTAGCACTGGTAGATGGATTAAATAATATTTGTATACAATCTTCTGCCATTGTGGAAAACACATTCTTAGTGTCCACCTGTCTTTTTTTCTTAGAAAAGAAAAGCATGACACACATGCTCACTATTATTTATGTGTATATTTAGTCAATTTATTCTTACAGAAAATTTATATTATCTACTATGTCTATAAATTAATTTATACTAAAATATGTATTACACATATTAAAATATATGACATTTCATAACTATGAGACTATCCAACTTCAAAGCAGTCCACAGTGACAGTGGTGCTTGAGTACCTCATTTTTTATTTACATAAGGGGCTTCTTAGGCAGAATTCCAGGTGGCTGTCTGTTCCCAATAGATATTCTGACAAACCCTCAATTTAGAAGGCGCTGTGTAGAGGTGTACAGTCTCATCTCTCCCTTGCTCTTTTTTCCCTTCTTGTGTTAATTCTTAGAGAGTACCTATCTCCAGCATCGGGCTTCCAAAGTTTACAGTTCCGACTGCTAGAAAATAAGATAGGTGTTCTTCAGAGCCTGAGAGTCCCTTACAACAGGAAACACTATCGTGGTAACTTCAGAGGAGAGGAGAGTGAGCTGTTGCTGAAATCGGAGCAGGAGCAGACGCTGCTGCAGCTGGTGGAGGTAGGAGAGCATGGCCTCCCAAGTACAGCTCCAACCTCTTGCTAACTTAGCTTCTGTGGCATCAGAATTCAAGCACTCTTATCAAAATAGCATGACATTCATGATAAACAAAGACAGAAAAAAAACCTACTAAACTTGTAATTAAGCTTACTAAAATATTTAAAATGTTAAGAATCTTATTGAGAAATTACACAAGATTTATATAATTGTATGCTAGTATCTAAGAGCTTCATCACCTCATTAAATTATTCTATCAAATATTCCTCCTAAGCAATATGCAAGTAGCTGATTTTTTGGCCTTGATTGTGTTTGATTATTTAATCAACTTTGTTTCTCTGAGATATAGCATAATTGAAAATCATAATGAAAAATTTTACTAATTAAATTACTAAGAATGTTCCCATCACAAAAATTCCCTTATTATTCAAATTTTCTGGGAATTTACAAATAGTGTTTATGGATGATTAATTTGATTTTTTATGGTAGCATGATACAAATTTCATCTTGATTTTTGTCACTAAGCTTTTCTCTTTGCAAATTAATTTTTTTTCTCTAGTGAATTGCATTCTATCCTTAATCTCCTGGGTGTTGCAAGTGTAGGCAATTAGGTTACTATTGCCTGTATACTACTGGGAAACTTAATAAGACAGAGTAAAGTAAATAAAAGACTAATTTCAAAAGTAAATGCAGGATGAGCAAGACAAGATAGGTGTTAATAAAGTCAGATTGATTTCCAGTCTACAAAGTCATTTGCAATCTTTGAATGATTGCAGGGGTGGCTGGAGAGATGGTCCCGTGGTTAAGAGAACTTACTGCTCTTCTAAAGGATGGCAGTTTGGTCCCCAGCACCCACATAGGGTAGCTCACAACCATGTATAGCTCCAGGGGATTAGTGTCCTCTTCTGGCCTCAGTGGCCACTGCCCCAAGTTTTATAAGTCTCAAAATTATGACGGTGTTAAATGTTTATGTTTACCAGGTATTCACCTAAATAATTATTTATTTAAGGCATGGCTAGAAAGAACACCTGGTTTAGAGCCACATGGATTTAACTTCTGGGGAAAGTTTGAAGAAAATATCCTGAAAGGTCTGGAAGAGGAATTCCTAAGGATTCAGGTAATTATGAATTCATGCCATAACCTTATTATGAAAGGAATTAGAAATTTAACCCATAAATTGTCTGTTGTTGTTATAATTTTTTTATAATCTGTCTTTTACAAATGTATCTTCTTGGATTATATATTACATGATAGACTTAACTTTCTTCATAGGGATAAAAACAATGCCAAGTTAAGATCTACATTACAAAGAATGATTTTTACCTATAACAAACAGCTAGTACTGATGTAACTTTTATTCTTATTGAAAATTGCATATTGTGTTCAATTCACACACAACTGGCATAGGAGAGAGAAACTAGGCAAATATATTTAACCATGTAACGTTTGCTAATGTTTCTACTAGATCCTTTCCATTGGCCACAGACAGTATCAATTGATTCTTTCTTTTTTAAATGAGATTGTTTCCAAGTTTTCTTCAGAGTAGAGGTCTTTCACCCTGTCTTCATGACTCAGCTTCTCTAGTCATTCAACTTTGCCACTTTGAGAAGGGATTCTGAAAGCACAGACTTTGAAGTCACGTGATATGGGCTCAACTTTCATCTTCTCCATGGATGTCTGTGACAATAAATAAACTACTTCACTTCTTGCATAACTTAACTTGTAGGCAAAATAGAAAGTAAGGATATCTACCACAAATAATTATCATGATATATTCCCCTTTTTAAAGTATTTCAGTAACAGTTGAACCATGGACCCTCTACAAGAACAAGTGCTTTTAACCACTGAGCCATCTCAATGTTTTTGAGGGATCTCTGAACACTACCAACTTTTTTTTTCACTTCCTGTTTTTTTTTAATTTATTTTGCAATACAATTCAGTTCTACATATCAGCCACGGATTCCCTTGTTCTCCCCCCTCCCGTCCCCCTCACCTTCCCCCCAAGCCCCCCCCCCCCCATTCCCATCTCCTCCAGGGCAAAGCCTTCCAATAGCTTTCACATATTTTTTTTCACCTACTACCATGACTTGAGTGCAGAGTTCCACTAAAGCAAAGGTCTCTTCATTGGTTGTTCCATCCCTTCCCCATTGTAGGCCTTTCAGTTCATTCTCTGTGCTGTGGTGGACTTAGTTGTCTTTCCAAAATGCAAACCTGATGACCTCTTCCTCTTGCCTAAAACCTCTTATGTATACTTTCTGCTCTCAAGAAAAAGATAAACATCCATGACAGGGACCCTAAGGCTTTTCATATATCACATGGTCGAACTGCACTGGGCTTCTCTCACTAGCTAATCTCAGTGGTCTGAATCCTCTCAGCTGAAAATGTCTGCCACCAGGCAGAGCTTTCCATCTTTGCCAACCTTCTTATTCCTGTCACTTCCTGGGGTAATGTTTCTCTTCCTGTATAGTGTTGTCCCTGGTCACAAAGCTGTGCTTGGGTGACTAATTGCAACACATCTTATTCCTAAAAGATAATGTGTTTGAGGTGAGATGATTCAATTTTTGCTTACATTTTTATGTCCACCACTTTCCTGTGAGCATTTATTTAATAAATGAATAATAATAGCGATACTATTACTTACAGGCTTTCACCACAAAGTGCTTGCTCTGATGGGATGAGGATAATTGGGCTAATGCAGTCCAAATAACAAATTTCAAGTGGAATTGTAGGGTGTTCAAATAAAGCAGACTTGCTTTAACCAATCAAAGAAAGCAATTAAATAAAAACATAATATAAAACATATTTAAGAAGCTTCATTTATAGACTAAAATAGTCAAAATAGAATTTAAATAGAATTAATAGTCTTTCTGATTAAGAAGTAATGTTTTCTAAGACTTTTTTGAAGAGTATTTGATATTATTAAATTATTTAAACATAAGTAAAATGAGAGAACAACAAGTATATGGAAGATTCCTTCTTGTAAGATGTTATCTTCCACATTGTAGTGTTTGATGTAAAGATAAATACTCAGGGTACACCCTTGCCACAAGCTGAGGATTTATTTCTCCTAAGGGAAGCAGTCTAAAACAGCAATCTGTTCTCTGCTTGGGAAGATTAAAGCAATATTTTCCCTTAAGGCTAAGGAAGAGTCTGAAGAAAAAGAGGAACAGATGGCCGAGTTCCGGAAGCAGAAGGAGGTGCTCCTGTGTTTGTTTGATGAGAAGCGCCATGAACATCTCCTAAGTAAAGGTAGATGTGTTAGTCTAAGGGTTTATCTGTGAGAACAAAATACAGCGTTATAAGCTTGTCTAGCAAGCTTAACTTGGGGGGAAGTCTGATGAAAATTGTTTTCCTACTTAGAGAAATCAGAAGTGGATAAATATTGTATCTGACAGTCCTTCATTAGCAAACTTGCTTGTTCAATATAGTTAGAAGACACTAGCGAACATTTTTGTACTATGTGCTACACGGAAGGGTGTCAAGGTAAAGTTTCGTTGTAAAATACTTCAAAAAGTTTTTAGAAATAAGAAACACAGACATAATTATTTTTTTTTATTATACAAAACAGAGTGTAGCAGAGGCATGAGTTTAGCATTAAATAGTTGCTAGGCCCCCATATCTATAAGCCCTCAGTGAAACATGGCTAAACTTTTGTTCTCACAATGAGGGGTGAAGCATTTTTTAGCTTCTATGCCACACCCTTATATAATCACTGTGCACTCTCAAACCGAGGAAACTTATTTTATGTGAATTAGAAAAAAATTAATTTTTTTGTTTGGTTTCAGATAGGATATTATTATGTAGCTCAAACTAGCTTTAGATCCACGATCCTATCTCAGCTCTTGAGTACTAGGATTACAGATGCGAACCACCACATCCAAAACAAACAAACAAACACACAACAAAAACATTTTCAAATAGGAAATGAAGTGAATCTTGCTTGCTTTTTGAATCATGAACCACTGTATTGCTTCAATTGGAAAATACCTATATCATAGGAGTTACCTATTCTTTATATCATACTGTCCTAATACCACTGAACTTATTTGAGAGTCTAAAATAATATATACATATATATGCATAATATTAAATATATAGATAATATACTAATTTGCATTTAGAGCCATAGAGTACTAAGTTCAAGCTAAGGAAGAAAAACCTAAAGTAAACATTAGTTTATTTTTCCTCTGAAAACACCCAAAGCATTTAACTATTTAAGATGATAATTCAAATTAACATGATTGTCTTACATTAGCTATAGAGTTGAGACTTGCTGGGAACTCAATCTCATCGGTAAAAGCCCTAGCCTAGGGCATGCTAAGGCCTTGTGCTCCATCCCTAACACCAAAAAGAGAGATTTTAATGCTGAAAACTTGCTGCATGTCTTCCAGGTGAACGACGACTGTCATACCGTGCACTCCAGGGAGCTCTGATGATCTATTTTTATAGGTAAAAAGAAAATTTAAAAAAAGAAAAGGAAGTGAAACTGAAGGGTGGATATGGAGGATGTGCCAAGGATACATATGGTTTATAAAGCACAATCACAGAAAATAATTACTGTAAATTGTAGATGTATCCAACCTTCTTATTAAATAAGAAACACAGAACCAATGCAAAGAAGAAAGCCAAGAGGTCAGAGCTAAGAGCTAAAACCTTACCCTTCCTCCTGCGGTGGTCCTACCTCTCCAAACCAGAGCTACCCCTGTGTTAAAGTCTTTATATAGAGTTCCTGTCTTGCCTTCTCATTGGTTGTAAACTCAACCACATGACCGCCTCCTCACGGCCTGTCTGTATAGGCCTCCAGGTTTTCCATGATTGGTATTAAGATTAAAGGCATGTGTATCCAATAATGGCTGTATCCCTGAACACACAGAGACTTACCCAGTTCTGCCTACCAAGTGCTGGAATTACAAGCTCACGCCACCACTGCCCTGCTTTCCTATGGCTTGCTAATAGCTCTGACCCCCGGGCAACTTTATTTATTAACATACAAATAACATTTTAATACAAATAAAATATCACCATAGTAAATGACAAGTCTGACTTTACTCATGTAGTTGGCTGTTTATGTACATGTGCAGACAACCAAATACATGTTGTTTTTTAATTATAGAGAGCATTATGTGTCAGTCATTAAGTGCCCCCAAAGGCCAAAACTAATCTTTACTTAGAAGTTCAGTTATGTAATAATTATTTCATTAAAACATAGTTTGAGAGACTTGTCTGTTTTATCAAATGAAAATTTGAGACCAGTGAGATGGATGAGTGTGTAAAGGCACTTTCCACCAAGCTGGACTGCATGAATTTGATTCTTAGGACCTTCATGATATAAGGAGAGAACTGACTCCTTCCAATTGTCTCCTGTCTTCCAAAGATGCTCCAGCCATGCTGTATACATACCGTGGCCCACCCCTACATAAAGAAAATACAATTAAAATCTAAAATAAAAAGAAAAGTAAGCAGTTGAGAATGTTTCATAACCAGTTGTCTACTTGGTCAGTAGTTTCATATAAAATTTTCATTACTGTCTAAAATGTTTTTGGGCTCCCCTAGGTGTTCATCTTCTCCTTGGGACTCGTGAATATGTGCCCAGCCAGTGAGGATTACATTGCCAAACAAGCTTCCAGGGACTGTTTATAGAACTTTTTAGTCATAAGTTTTAATTTTGCATTTCTCTGAGACTGGTTTCTTCAGAATCAGAAGAAACAAAATCTTTTAGCTTTGTTTTTCTCATCTCAAAATAAAGAAATGTCCTAAGTAAAATATATATCAATAATGTTGATGGCTTAGATAAAGGAAACCCAAGCATAGTAAGGGACATAGAAATCATGTTTATGTATCTGCTTAGAAGCATTTGATTGTTGTTAGTATTCTGTTTAAGATACTGTACATATTTCCCTTCCAGTAAGATAGTATTAGGCAGGACTCTTTGGCTGGTTACCTCATACGTATTACATGGAACTTTCTAGACTTCACACAAATACTAGGCAGTGAATAGTGTTATTCCCAATTTTTGAGGGAAGGGCTGAGAGGACAATCCAAAGGTACTATAACTCCTAAATATTAAGTTTGACTAGGGCCAACACACAGACATTCTGGCTTGTCTTGGTGCACTGGATTTTCTTAATCAGGACGACTTCTTACTGTTGTTTCCTGTAGAGAGGAGCCTCGATTTCAGGTCCCTTTCCAGTTGCTGACCTCACTTATGGACATAGACACGCTCATGACCAAATGGAGATGTAAGTACTCCTCCACCAGGTCCCCTTGTCCTCCCCTTGTGCCTTTACCACATTTTAGGAATCGAGAAAATGTTTTATTTCATTTTAGAATCAAAGGGAAAAGTAAAATTTGTGTCAGTGTTAATATATACTATCTCCATCCCCATACCAATGTCTTTAAAAAATGAAATTATTTGCTTTATTTTATTTCCTAAATTTTCAGTTAGTCTTTTGGTTGGTGTTTGAAATAATGGGTTTCATTACATTTACATACTCACACATCATTTTACTTTGTATTCAGCCTGCCACCAACCTCCCCTTTCTGTCCCCTTCCTATCTGGTGCCTCTTCCCTGCACATGGCCACCCCTGCATGTTCATGTGTGTGTGTTATTAAGACTAGGCCCAAATGAGAGAAAGCATGCAGTATTTTCTTTTTCTTTCTTATCCCTCAGGACTCTATCATCACCCAGTTTCAACAGTCCTTCCTTTAACTTTACATGATGACCCCCAATGCATAATTTCAAATTGTTGCTTTATTTTAAATTTTTTTTTTTTCTGGAGGAAGGTTCCCACAGAGAAACAAATGGGAAAGACCCATGAAAGCCATTATGTGGCCCTGCCTCCCCATTACTGTGCTCCTAGGCTTAAAGCAATGAAGAATGAAGTAAATTGCATGTAGCCAAAGCCACAGGGTTGCTAGGCAACCTGATGGCCTCCTCTGGTGCTCACATTTGACCTTTCCATCTGGCTAAGTGATAAGGTGTCAGCCTTTGCTGGAGCAATAATCATTACCAACGCTTTGGTTTTAGAACACCGAGGAGCTAATGGCAGAAAAATATTCATGCAGTAAATTTGTGTGTTTGCCTAGATAATCATGTGTGCATGGTGCACAGAATGCTTGGCACCAAGGCTGGTACTGGGGGATCCTCAGGCTATCAGTACCTACGCTCAACGGTGAGGTAAGTTGGGGCTTCTCACCACGTTGAAAGTTAGCAAGTCTTGTTTACAGGTCTGTGCTTGTCAATTTGGAGAAGTTGCCCTTACTTCTGTCTAAACTGATAGCAGCACATTTAGTTAAATACCAATATTCCTATGGAAACTCAACGTAATTGTATACAATTCTTAGTTCCTGAACTTCATCATTTCATCCTGTGACAAAAGGTGTTCTTCTATCAATGGCTACCAAATTGGCAAGTGTATAGAGCAGTTGTTCTCAATCTATGGGTCATAAGCCCTCTGAGGTCCAAGGACCATTTCACAGGGGCCACCGAAGAACATAGGAAAGCACAGATAGTTACATTTACACATTTACACAGACATAATTAGCCTGGACAGTGTTTCTAGTGCATCCTCTTATTTAATCCTCACAAAATCCTAGCTAGAGGAAATATTGTAGATTTCATTTTATAGAGTTTAGACTCTTCAGCTTCATATCCATGGCCCCATATGTTACAAGCAACTGAAGCGGGATTCCAAAACAGATTTAGGTGACTTCAAAGCAAGTTTTCTTCCTCCACAAAACTTTACCAGATTTTGCCATTTTAAAACTATCTTTTAAAATAGCTGGCTAACAAACAGAAAAGAAATTTTATATGAAAACCACTCTGTAAATGTTTGAAATGAAGCCAAGATGATATTTAAATTTATTAATCCTTTATAGACGTCACAGGACAGCTACTCTGTAGTTAGGAAATATTTTCCAATGAGCAACTTAGAACTCCATATTTTAAATGTATTACTTTACATATTGCCCTTTTACAATAAAAAATAAGGGGCCTAGAGTAATGTCTCAGTAGTTAAAAATATTTACTCTTCCTCTAGAATTTGATTCCCAACACCCATATAAGTCAGCATGTAGTTTCAGGTCCAGGAGGAGGATGCCTCTGGCCTCACCAGTACCTACACTCATATTCACTTACCTACATACAGACATACACTTAAGTATTTTTAAAAAATTAATAAAAATAAATCTTTCAACAAATAATAAATAAGAGCACAACTTTATCTGCATGAAAACAATATCACAACAATTACTCTAGGTTTAATTCAGATCACTCTGGTTTGAATCAAGCATATTACTGTTTAAAAACATTAATCTGGGATGTGATTAAATGTTACATAATATTATTACCAACCTAGAAACCAACCTATATATGTTATATATGACATACAAGATATAAGGTTGAATATTGTTTATGGGAAATATTTTTAAAAAATTATGGAGTAGAACATTTTTAATTTTTCATATCAACACTCTAACATGTAGATTGCATGTATGTTTCAGTGACAGGTACAAGGTGTTTGTGGATTTATTTAACCTCTCAACATACCTGGTTCCCCGACACTGGATACCCAAGATGAATCCGACCATTCACAAATTCCTTTACACAGCTGAGTGCTGTGACAGCTCTTACTTCAGCAGTGATGAGTCGGATTAAATTCTTCTGGATATCTGTGAAAACTACAGCATTCTTAGTCCGTCTTCTATTTTTATAAGTTTTTATGAATACATGTTTGGAGTAATGTATTTATATATGTAGCTCAGTGTCATGGTGTTCTGGTGCAATCTTGGAAACAATTTTATAATCTTGTGTACTGTGATGATGTAAGATTAAGCACTATGATGAGAAATAATTCAGTAAAATGTTATGTCATCATACATATGACACATTCCTGTTAAAATTCAGTTTACCCTGATACTTACCTCAATGGAATCACTTTATATAATTATTACCTCATTGTGTCATGCTTTATAAAGCTTATTGAGCACTTACTTTATATTATATATGCAACAAATGCTGGAATTCCATACAAAATTTATTCAAATAAATCTTTAAATAATCAATTTAGGTTTTGGCTGTGCATTGCTTGGAAAAACATGGCTTTGTCGGGAATCTTGAGCAGGGGTAGACATCTTTCTGAAGCTTGGCCTGAGGGTCCTTATAGGATTATTATTTCACCAGCTCCCAGAACTCAAAGGCACTTAAGAAATACACCACAGGAATCTAGTTCAGCTCCTGGAATATGTTACTCCTGAAAAGTTTTAAAGATGCTCTTCTTGCTTCTGTGTCAATATTGACTGTCACAGATCAGTCTCTTCCTTACACTATGGACCCCGAGAATGACAGAAGTCATCTTTCCCTGCTCCAATGCCTGCACTGAGGCATGGTCAGTGCTAACACATAGAACTGTTGTAGAAATAAGTAGCAGTTCTCTAGGGAGGAACGATCTTTCCAACCCACTAAATAGGCCAACTGGCTAAACAGCAATCATGCATTCCTAACAAAAATATGATGCTTGGGGTTTATATCAGACTTGAGTCTTAGTCTTCTTTTTCCAGCCTGCCTTGGCTGTTGACAGCATTTAGTTAAGTTGCTGATATGAGAGAGGCTACAAAATATTGTGTTAAGTTTTCTAATGATTCATGATTAGAATTAACAAGTTATTTCCAAGAAGTGGGAAGTTCTTGAAAGAGGCAGGCTATAAATCAGTCTTAATTGAACACCATAAGGATCATGTTTAGCTACTCTGTAATATGCATGTAAAGTAGAACCATCTGTGTCCTAGGTTCTGCATTATGGATCTGTCTACTTTCCAATTTTTAAAATTTTAAATGTGAAAGAAGAAATATAGTACTTGTGCAGACTTTCTGTCAGTATTATTTACAAATAATAACATGCATTTTGTTCTTTGTATTATTTATAGATGAATAAAGAATACTAGCTAGATAAATAAAGACCCCAATCATTGAGTCTATTAGAGAAACATAAACTTTGACAGGCAGAATTTATTCCAGGATTCTAAGTCATAAGAGCTATGGAACAGCTCTTTACATGCTTTTTGATGAGAGGAAATGAAGCTTACAAAGTAAGTATTCCCCATTTGGGCAGAAACTGGGGGGTTCAGTTGGAGTATACCACAGTACATAGTTAGCAAAGGATAGATTCAGCATTTACTCTTCAGCTTATTGATTTCTGAGGTTTGTCTTTAGTTCCCCATGGTATTTGCTAAAAATGTATTGCCTAGAAATAACTCAAGAGTATAGAGGCAGGCATGCCTAGATTATATCCAAACCAAAGACATTTTGCATATAAGAAGTGAGCTTTATATATATCCATGGGGTTCCTGGAATTAGTATTTCAAGGATGTACAAAGGAAAATGATGGTGGCTTTCAGCTACATGGCTTGTGTCTATGTGTTGTGTGCTTATGTGCACACTTGTGCGTGTGCATACATTATACACACTTGTAGTTAAACAGATAAAAATTTAGAGGCAATTACTAAGGTGGCATTGTGTTCCCCAAAATATTGTACACACTAATAAACTTATCTGGGGTCAGAGACAGAACAGCCACTAGATACAAAGGCTAGAAAATGGTGGCACTCACACCTTTAATCCTAGCACTCCAGAGGTAGAAATCCCTCTGGATCGCTGTGAGTTCAAGGCCACATTGGAAATGGCCAGGCATGGTGACACACGCCTTTAATCCCAGAAAGCGAGCCTTTAATCCCAGGGAGTGGTGGTAGAAAGCAGAAAGGTATATAAGGCGTGAGGACCAGAAACTAGAAGCATTTGGCTGGTTAAGCTTTCAGGCTTCTAGCAGCACAGTTCAGCTGAGAGCCATTCGGATATGAGGACACAGAGACTTCCAGTATGAGGAAACAAGACCAGCTGAGGATCCGGCCAGGTGAGGTTAGCTGTGGCTTGTTCTGTCTCTCTGACCATGCAGCATTTCACCCCAATAACTGGCCCTGGGTTTGATTTTATTAATAAGACTCTCTAAGATTCATGCTACAAATTGCCATGTCAAAATTTATGTCTCTCTAATAGACTCAGTGATTGGGTTCTTTATATTTCTTGGTGACTAAGCTATATACCATTGCAAGAGTTTTTTCCCAAAAGATTCAATAATTCTTAACATAAATATCACAGTAATTTGTACTGGTGGTTCCTCCACTGGGCCCCATTACCCTTTGCTCTGGAGGCTGGGAAGCCTCTTTAATGGCAACTCTCTGGAATTTCAGTCACTGCACAGTTGACTGATTTAACACTTGCAGTGGGGACCCCATGAATCACTTCCAGGACCTGTGGGCGATTTTCAGTATGACTCCTAAGTATTAAGTAATGAATTGACCCGCTCTGCCTCTGGTTTTCTGGGGCAGGAGCACCCATGTGCAGGGGTAGGTAAGTCATCACTCATCTACAGGGGATGTAAAGGTAGAGAGTGGCCTCTCCATGAAGCTCATTTGAAATAATTTTCATGCTATCTTACAGGCATCAGGGGAATCCAGTGGTTTAAAACTTGAGAGTAAAATGATATGATCATTTTAGAGGTATAAATCTTGGAAAATGCAGTAGACACGTTATAATAGTGTTTTTCACAGCTATTCAGAATCTACTCTGGAGATTATAGTGTGGGAACCCCTGAGTTAAAGGTCATTGAATTTAGTTGCTAACAAAGATTGTCAGAATCAGAGGGAGTTACTTATATCAGGCTCTAATTAGAAAATAAAAGTAATAAAGCTGTGAAGTTATGGAAAGGGATATTATATATATATATATATATATATATATATATATATATATATGTACACATATAAATATGTGATTATATAACAAGAACTATCACAAAAGATTGTTTGAACTGCATCTCACCAAAGGTCATCCTAACTTCATACAAAAACAAAAAGCTTTTGTGAAGACATTTCCATGGGGACTACTTGGTCAAGCTTGATGTGGATCTATGTAGCTGAGGGGAGTTATTTTAGAACAGAACAACTTAATAATCTGTATTTATTTTACCAGTCAAATCCCTTGTTTTCCTTCATTTCTTGGGCATACTTAAGCATATCCCCAGCAGCATACAATGAACTCATTATCTCTGCAGAATCTGTCTTAGTTTGTCATTTTAGGTTGGCTGGAGACAACTGAATAGTAGAGGTGAGAGACAATAAAAAATGTACCTCCAAGAAAGGAGTAATGAAATGGAGAGGAAGTAAGTAGATGAAGGAATGGGTTCTAAGGTAGAGTTGACTTGATTGAATACCTAGAATTCCTTTGACTTTATTGATGATTACACAATAGTGATGCTGCTGAGAGACAGGAATGGTAAGGAGGAAAGGACCACTGGGTGCTGACAGCAGCTTTGGGAGGATGGTGAGAGGCATCTTGGGCACAGCTGGATTAAAAGTATCTAAGGAGAAAGCCACACTGGATATATGGATTTGGATTCAAGGAAATGCGAATGTAAAGCATATCAATACTAATAAGTACCTGTTAGTACTCACAGATAATGATAAATTTTAAGCCACACATTTAAGAATAAGTTCTTTTTAATTAAAAGTCAGAATATAGTTTTTTTATTATAAATGTTGTCAAAATCTAGAATACCTGAGGGATAACAATGATTTTGAAAATTTAAAACTTCATTTGCATTTGAAACTGGGTATCAGAAAACCACTGGTAACATACTGAAAGTCAGAAACACAAACTGTTGCTGAACTTGGTTCCTTTCTGGACTCCTTGAATAATTAGACTACTTTATTTAAAATGTTAAGAATCGTCTTCTGCTATTTTTCCACACTCCAGTTTATGTACATTCTTTTGAGATTGTTTCTCACTGGAACAGGAAAAAAAATAAGGAGTTTTGTTCTTGATTCCGGTATTCTAATGAGGGACATGAACAAAGAGCAAAGTGAGTTGGACTACCAGCTATCAGAGAGTTTTTTAAGTAAGAGATTAGGGAATAGAAATGAAATGACAACAATGGGACTGAGTTCTTTTGGGCTGGAAGGTGAACCACCAGGAACACATGGGAATTATACAGTAAAGGACAGGAGAGATAGAAAAATGTGGAATAGTTTGTTCTCTGCTACAGAGAGAAAAAGGCAAGAAGCTAAATGTATTGGATCCTTGACAGTGAAGCTTTCTAGAAATTCCAACTCATAGGAAGTAGCGTAGGATACTTCCTATCACATGCTTGCCATGTGCTTCACTTAAATTCAATTAAGTTGACTCTCTGAAAAAGAGACTTTCTCATTTCTTCTTTGTGCATAGTTGTTCTACTGTCTAGGATAAGGTCCATTTGTTGAGGTAAAGCAATTGATATTCCAAATCCATACATATGGCACTCCCCCTCAGAAGGCTGCTGTGATTGTGAGATACACACTGAGTTAGGTTGACAGTTCTAGTAGATGAGGTTATCTACAGCTGGTGATTATAAGTCACAAGAGAAAACAAATTCTGATCACTTCTTTGATCCAACTTGACCAAAGTACTCCATTAAAATAAACAGCTAGAAAGACAAAAAGCAAGCAAAAATATCAACTGCTTCCAGATGGAGGGCTTGATGTGACCTCTGATCCCACCAAGCTCTCAGAGTTCCACACTGTTCCAGATTTCCTTGCAGGCCCATGTGCCAGGGGTTGGGGAGTTTCTGTGAACTTTGGTTGTCCATCTCTCTGCAAGAATGGGATGATCTACCATTGTTTAAAAAAATGCTAGCTTGCTCTTAGAACCTCTTGTAGGCAGTTGTTGAAACTTGACAGTGAATAATGCTTAGAATTAAGTATTATATTAGACCATATTATGAAAAGCATCATTTTCATAGTGGTCTCATGATGACTCCAAAACATGGCATGATCACACAAAGACAACGGAGACAGAGTCTGCTATACCTAAGGCAAAATGTAAAAGAGGGAAAAAAAAGGTATTAATAGCAATCAATTTTCTCTATACCATTTGCTTCAAAAAATTTAATTTTCACTTATGTTTAGAATGAGTTAGTATTCATTAACAAAATAATTTAATAGTTATACTTAGCTGTCAGTAAAAGCAAGGCAAGC